CATCCATCCATCCATCCATCCATCCATCCATCCATCCATCCATCCATGGACTGGTTCCCATATCCATGAATGGGTAAATGAGGCACATACTGTTGTAAAGAGGTTTGAGTATCTTGATAAGATAGAAAGGAGCTGTTTAAGTGCAGTCCATTTACCATTAACATAGAGACAAACAACTATTCACTCTCTCTCTCACCTAGGGACAAATTAGAGTCTTCAATCAGTCTAACATGCATGTTTTTAATCTGTGGGAGGAAACTGGAGCACCTGGAGAAAACCCACGCAGCACGGAGAGAACACGCAAACTCCACATAGAAAAGTATCAGACCGGGATTTGAACAGACGACCTTCTCGCTAAGAGGCGACAACTCTACTAACTGAGCCACCGTGCCACCCTCTGTGAGATTATTGTATTAAGGAAAGTGTCCATGTTCAAATGTAAACAAAGCTCTCGTCTTTGTTGGCAGCAACAAATAAATTCTGATTTTGCTCCTTTTGTCAAAGTGACAGACGTACTTTTGGTTTTGAACGAGGCCTATTTAGAGTTTACTTTTATACATCATAAATAACATAAATCATATGAGATAGATGTATTATCATGCAAAAAAACCTGACAAAAACATGTTTTTGACCTTTGTAATGACTTAAGGTGTCAAATAATAGTTAATATAAAAATAACTAAGATTTCCTGGTGACTCATTAAACTGAGCTGATAAATACGAACACACAGTTTTAGAATGAGAGCGTAACGTGAACAAAACTAAAAACAGAACTAAAACAAAGACAAAATACCCGTCACTCAAGGCAGTTCATTATTTTTCACATTTGAAAACATTTGCAGGTTCATCTGCCTTAAAGAAGAAAACTGGAAGATTTGATCAAATGAAAACACAAAATGTGTTAAAACAAAAAGAAAATGGACAAAATGTATAAAACAGTTTAGGAGCTTTGCTTTAATCTCCTATAGACTTGGCTTATTTCTGAGCTCAAATATAAAAAATAGCATCTTAAGAGAGAGGTTTTATTCTGCAACATCTGCCTCACTCCGTTATTTCACCTTTTAGTTTGGAGCAGCCGAAGCTGCAGCAGGGAATCATCTGGACCTCTGCTGGGTTGGAGACAAACAAGAAGCTGTGATTACGAGCAGAAACACTTCTGTGAAGCCTTCGAGCCGGTAAACGTGCGCCTCTGTGTCATCACAGGTAAAAGTCCATTAGTTGAGAAGTTTCCCACAAGCCCGCTCTAATGAGCTGCCGTTGTTTTTCCTCAAATATTCAGAGTTGGGGGAGTTAAACGAGGGAATGAAGCAGCAGTTAATTCAGTTCTCCTCGGTTTATTTTGATTGGTTAACAATTTTAAAAAAGCCAGTGATGTCACACGAGCTGCTCCGTTTAGGTTTTCATTAAATCCGGAGGCGGACGGTCCACTGGGGATAAAAATTAAACATTCGCCCCACAAAGTAGTTCCTCCTAATAAACAATGTAAACTACTCGTTCACTGAGCTTGCTGTTTGTTGGGGAGTGGTGGCACAGACGTTAGAGAAGGTTTGATCGGAAGGTTGCCGGCTCGACTCCCCGCACTGCAAACAAACAAAAAACCTGAGCTTTGGTTCTGTTTGTTTTTCCAGTTGACAGTTTAAAGTGGAATTTCAAATGATTTTTGATTTGTCCTCAGTTTTTTTTACTTATTTTTGGTTTTGGAACAGTAGCGTTGAACGACTCACGTTCATCAAGCAGATCTGAACGTGCGGCCAGTGACCTGGACAGGCAGGTCCAATAGTCTCATTTGGGGCATCAAATGTTCTGCCCTGTGGACACGTTCAGCTGGTTTAACTGCGTTGACACAACTGCTACCTGGACCTGTCAGGAGCTCAAGCCCAGAGCAGCTGTAGTGAAACCTGCTGAGGCCAACAGTGGAGATATCCTGTTTTTGAATCCATCTGGAGGAGACGGAGGGGACCAGAACAGAAAACTGAGAACAGAGGAAAGTCTAACATGGTAGGATGTGCAGCCACGGTGGTTCAGTGGTTGAAGCAGAGGTCTTTTTACTCTGTGTTTGTGGGTTTGATTCCCACTTAAATCTAAATGATTTGGTGATGAATTATTGTATCATCATTTTTCACTCAAATTTTATTTTAGTTACTTCACTGAACTTTTTTCTACCATTTAACCGTGTTACTCTGAAGTATTATTCCAGAATTATTGCTTCATATCAAATCAGAAGCTGTGTGCCTGTCAGGTGGGGGGGGAGGGACGCCCGTTTCTCTGATTTATTAGACCAGGCTGTCTTTCACGAGATACAACCTCAGCCCACGGGAGGGAGTAGAAAAACAAAGTTTGTAGACACACACAAAACAACAACAACATTAAATTAAACATTAAGCAACATGTATCAGTTTCTTTCTCCAATGAGAATGTAACACAATTTGTAACAATGTTTGAGATGCAGGAAATTAATGTCCTCCCACTAATACTTTAGCTCTAGAGCAGCCACTGATCTAATCTGTACCGAGGTTCTTTTTGCTTAAAATCATCCTGCTCATATAAAAACATCAACTAATTTAAGACTATTTTTCAGCATCCATGTGGTTCGAAATGAAAATGCTTGAAGAGGTCTGGATAACCACAAATAAAACTAAAGTTATGCGTAAACAACAAGCGTGTTATTGTTATAGTTATCTTTATATCATGTGCCTTTCACGATGCTGTAATGGACTGTATAGTTAATATCCTACTGCCGTGGGGACAGGGGTGCTGAGGGAGCTACAGCACCTTGTGTGCATGGCAATAAATAACATATCTAAAAATATAGAAATAAGCAGTTTCATGACTGAGTTAAAAACAAACAACAACAAAACTAAACTAAAAACATTTACCCATCTGTACTTTGTAAGTTCATAACCAATTCAATAGTCAGGGCACTATATAACAGACAAAAAGAAGTTTAAACTAATCAGAGTCAGATTTAAGTTTAACTACAGTCATTGACATGTTGACTCACATGTCAATGACATGTTGACTCACATGTCAATGACATGAGTGATTTAAGGACAAATGAAAAATAATGAATTTAATGTTTATCTGGAGTGTGAGACTGTCCAACCACGTAAACAAATGACAAATGTCTGATGTTTAAATAAATCTGTCTTTGTTCACTGATGAAGGAAAAACACTTTCACATTTTCTTCAACCAAATCATTTTCCTTTGATGTTACTTTTCATTTCTAATTTTGCGCACAGCAACGATCAGTCTTTGCTAAAAAGGCAAAGTGAGAAACTTAATGAAAGTTGCTGATATTTATTCACACGTCTTTTTCCAACGCATCTCGAAGTGCTGCCTCAGCACGCAACTTTTTTGTTGCTGCTTGGGGAATTAAAGCACACATTATGACTCTACACATAAACTCTGACACTAAATAAAAAAGCAGGGCACGACTCAAGGACAATCACTGTGAGGAGCCACCGTGACGAGTGAACCTGAAACATGGAGCTGCTGGACGCGATGCACTCGGACGTCACAAAAAGATCCGTTCCGCTTCCAGACTCTTAGAGGAGGTCGTTAGTTTGTGTGAATGTGTGGATGTGCGTGAGCGTGTGGGGCGTCACTTTATTCTGTGAGCACACTGACAGCACAGCGTGCTGCCTTTGCTTCGTGCACACTGTATCGTCACTGTGTCCATCGTCTGGATTCTCCACGGGAGTGAGCTTGGCCGCTGTGTCTGTCGTGTCCAATAGATGCCCCCCCGCGGCAACACCGTGGCTGTTTTCCTGCAGGGGCCACATTTCCTGCCACGTGAGCGACGGATGATGAGGCGGGTGGCTGCTGAGCAGAGGCTTTTTCTGTCTGTAGTTAGCCCACACCTGCAGAATGGTTTCTTTGAAAGGCCGCGTGGTTAGCGTGTACAGGATGGGGTTCAGAGCGCTGTTGATGGGGAGGATGAAAACGACCACCCAGGAACTGATGGTCCCTGTCGAGGACAGAGTGCAGAAACATAATGAGAAAACAAAGACAACAAACTTTACCTGACGCAAAATATTTTATGTTCCATTATTTTGACTTGCTCTTTGTGTCCATCACAGAGCAAAGAGGCGGATCCATCCATCCATCATCCATCCATCCTCCATCCATCCTCCATCCATCCATGAATGTTGTGAACATGATAACTTGAAAAATAAGTGAGGTGCCAACGTTTTTTTTTTTGGTGCAGCTGCATCTGGGTGTAAGAAAGGTCCTTACCAAGGAATGAAGATTCATTTTATGGTGGCCAAGGCCACCATTTGCCACCCCTTAGCTCTGCCCTTGTGTCAGTCATAGATGAAATAGCTCCCTCACTCTCCAGGATCCATCACTCTGTGCTGCCTCGATGCAAAAGACAAATCCTCCCTCTGTTCATCTCCACAGTGTAACTCCCATCCACTTGAATCTCTTGCATTAAAGTTTACTTACATTCCCATTTCAATTCCAGTCCACAAAAACACTCAGACATTCACTATTTAAACCCTTCAGATGACTGAGGACATCAGCATACTGCTTGTTACGTCATGTAGAGACAAAGTTTAGATCGTAGTATCTCACTGAGCTGCGACTACCTGCTGACTCAAACTTTACTCACTATTACAAGAAAGAAGGGACATTTTTGGTGCAGCACTGAAATAAAACTGTAAAATCACATCAGTTCGAACAAAAGCTCCGACAAATATTCATTCTTCATTATCAAATATCACTTATTTGCTAAAGTTCTTGACGTCTTCCTTCATTTTGTGGCGTTTGTCACTTTTTTTTTTTTACTTTAAGATCAAACTCTGAGTTTAATCCTGAGTATTACTCAGTTTAAAAAAAAAACACAAAGGAAATCTGATCAAGCATCAAAGCTTATTTCTTCATATTTAGGTTTTAATTTCTGCTCAGTTTAAAACATCTGTCATTCTAAATTATGGCTAACGTTTATTAATCCAGCATATTGAGTCCACATTTACTGTAATGTTCTCAGAAGGTCAAACATATTTGTAAAATACTTTTAACAGTTTTCAAATACTCTTTAAAATGTAATTTTGGACGTTTGGAGGCTTGATGGCAGCGATTTGATCTCACGGGGCCTTGAGTTTAGATTTGGATCACAGGTCATTAGTTCTTAAAGCTCAGAAAAGAGTCCCAGCTGTTTGATTCAGTCTTTTTTACCTTACGTACAAACAAATATTCTATTTGCTCTGTATCTGATGGACACTGCCACCATTGTTCGTTAATTAATACAATTTAGTTTAATAAAAGGAGGATTTTAGAAGCAGTTGTTGGTTTTACTTTACCAGGAATCTCCACCTGCAGCAGCGACAGGATCTTGAGGATGAAGATGGGGATCCAGCAGAGGGAGTCAGTGATGACTATGGAGAAGAAGCGTTTGGCGATGGTCACCTCTTTTTTGATGTGGTTGCTGTACTTGGTGGTCTGGGTGCCCGTTCTCTGGATGTTGTAAAACATGCTTGCATAGGAGAAGACTATGATCAGGAAGGCCACCAAGTTGAGACCTGCAGAGAGATTTTACGTTAGTTTCTACATTTTGGAATGTACTATGACAAATAGTGATTTTATTATGCTTTAGAAAAAAAAGAACCACAAAAGAACTGAATGGATGGTGTTTCTGCAAATACACAGTGTGATGTTAAGTACTGAATGATTTTTCTAAAATTTGCTAAAGAAGCTCGGGTGATAAAAGCTTAAAGGATCAAACCAATAGATGAACTCTAAAAGTTGCAAAAGCTAAAAGTGTCAAGAGGCTAGCTGGAAGCTAAATGTAGCACAAAGTTAGCTAAAAACTAAAAGTAACAACAGGACCGGCTCAAAGTAGCAAAAAGAGAGCTGAAAAAAATATATATATAAAAAATGCATTTGGTTTCAGCTTCTAGTTAAAAGTATCAAACAGCTGGATGACAAAGTATTATGAAGCCATAGCTGGAAAATAGACGTTTCAAACCTGGCTAAAAGGTAAATGTAGCAAACAATTAGTTAAAAGTAGCAAAACGCTATCTAAAAGCTAAACACAGCAATGGCTAGTTTAAAGCTGATAAAAAGCTAAATGCTAAAAAATATGAAAAGGTTAGATAAAAGCTAAAAGTAGCAGGAGTGATAGGTAAAAATTAAAGAAGCATAAAAAGACTTCTAAAACAGATGTCAAAGAAAATAATGTTTTTGGAGGAGTTGCAGAAACTTCCATGTTGTTTTAGTGAGAAAATCTTTGTAAATGAAATTAATTGTTTTGAATTGACAAACAACAGTCACAGCACCCGTCACCTGAATGAGCTGCTTTCATTCATGAATGGATAAAATAGCACAAAGTTTGCAGTCGTAGATACAAAGCAAAACAAAGTAATAGCAATAAAATCACCTGTAAAACAATGGCGTGAGCGATGACTCAGCATTCACACAATAAAAGAATAAAAGAATAAAAGAATGGTTGAGTCTTCCTTTTTAAAGTTAAATGTTTGTAAGACAAAGGAGAGGGTCGTTGATTTTAGAAAAACTCTTCCGTTGCAGCTCCTGTGGTCATTAACGGTGAAGCTGTCGAAGTGGTGCGTCAATAGAAATATATGGGAACTGTTCTGGATGACAAACTGACCTTTGACCTCCAAGTGAACTCTCTTTGTAAAGGCTCCCACATACTCGGGCACACTTCACTCCGCAGAGGTCCGCTCGTACCGGATTAGACTCAGGGTGGACTCGAAGCGGACGCCCTCAAGCCCTCAAGTACTCGGTGTCACACAATAAACTGCTCGGCGACGGACTGTTTGGTATGTGACACCACTGTATTAAACTCCTCTTCTCCATCCCTGATCTGGCCTTTTCTTTAGTTTTTATGCCAAGAGGCAGAGATCTCTTCCTCCTCCGTTGATGCCATGACTGAAATTGTGAGAAATTAAGGAATTTGTCACGAACAAATTAAACTCAGGTCCAGCATGGCTGCGGGAGGGTCTGGAGATTTCCTGGTGGGCTGGTCTGATGTGTGGGCTGCAGGACCAGCGCTCCCTGTTTTTTTTGTTGTTTTTTTTTTAGAACTTTTTATTAATAACATATAAACACAGAACACCGCTGCGGATGGGGCTGCCAGCTCTCATTTTTGTCCGTCAATTAATCCAGTAGGCGTGTCAGCAAATGATCAATCAGTGATCTCAATTTGTCCTGAAGGTAAACGCTCCTTGCCTGCGGAGCTGACTGCAGCTAATCAGCGTGCACGCTCGAGTCCGAAATTTCAACCGTCTATGGTCAGTGCGCACAGTGTCCGTGCACTCACGGAGTACACACAATACGCCGGAGTATGTGGGAGCCTTAGGAAGGCCCACCAGAGAATGTAGTTTTGTCTGAAGCTCTAATTTTAGGAGAATGTTTAATTGAATCTCTTTTAACTTTCACCTTCATCTGCTGGTTTGGACTGTTGATCTGTAAGAACAGGAACAAACTAATTCTCAGGAATTGTCAGGATGTGCAGCAAAACTGCTGGCATAGCCCTACAGAACCTCTCTGACCTACAGAACCTCACTGACCTACAGAACCTCTCTGACCTACAGAACCTCACTGACCTACAGAACCTCTCTGACCTACAGAACCTCACTGACCTACAGAACCTCTCTGACCTACAGAACCTCACTGACCTACAGAACCTCTCTGACCTACAGAACCTCACTGACCTACAGAACCTCTCTGACCTACAGAACCTCACTGACCTACAGAACCTCTCTGACCTACAGAACCTCACT